GCGCTGTAGGACACACATTACAATCAGCTCTTACTGCTGCTCACATAGTCTGCTGTGCTTCAGTGGGACTGAAAATCACCCTCAATAACCAACTGAAGAAGAGTCTTAACTAAACCAGCGCTGCTGCTTCTCCTCAGAACTCACCTTGTGAATCTCCACAGCCTCTTTCAGCTCCTGAAGCTTCTTCTCTCGCTCCTTGATTTGCTGCTGGAATTTTCTCTGTGTCTGAACCAAGTGTTTCTGTAGGACAAAAGCAGCAAGTCACAGAAATATACTGACTGAAAACAAACGTTCAAATTGTTTTTGTATGCGACTACCGCTTTTGTGTTTTTATCTCACAGAACTGGATTAATGACATTCTTAACCATGAAAAACCACATAAATGAATGACTTCATACTATAGTCTAGCTGGAAGTCTAGCTAACTTTTTTTTCTCTAGTGTCACTGTTATTTGTCTATCATCGTCTTATAAAAATTTAAATTTATTTCAGCTGTTAATGATACAGTGTTAAGGTCATGTGAAATGTGATTTGATATTGTTGCAACAGACAGAATCAGTATACAATGCCGTACCTGTTTCTCGGCCCTCTCCACTGCACTTGAGACAGTTTTGTGTTTTTTGTGTTCATCCACCACACAGAGCACACAAATGCAACACTTGTCAGTACGGCAGTAAATGTCCAGCAGTTTTTCATGTTTCTGGCAGATCATCTTCTGTAGTCGTCCAGTTGCGTCCATTAGATTGTGTTTCTTTCCTTTAAAGAGATTCTCATGTTGTTCAAGGTGGTTTTGACAGTAGGAGTTCAGACACACCAGACAGGACTTCACAGCTTTGTGTTTTCTTCCAATGCAGACGTCACACTCCACATCTCCAGGTCCAGCAGGAACAGTTTGGAGTTCAGTTTTCTTCAGTTTCTCCACCACTTCAGCCAGCATGGTGTTTTTGCCTAAAGTAGGTTTTGGTCTGAAGGTCTGTCTGCACTGAGGGCAGCTGTAGACTCTCTTCTCATCCTCTTGATTCCAGTGGTCTGTAATGCAGCTCTTACAGTAACTGTGTCCACAGGGAATGGCTACTGGATCCTTCAGCAAATCCAGACACACTGAACAGCTGAACTGCTCTGCTGAAACACTTGCTTCAGCCATTTCACTGCATGCACTCACAGACAGAGACACAACACAGCTAAACGGCACTTAGGTTGCATTTTTCCTGAACTGGAGAGAACTGGATTAATTTCCTGGTTCTCTGATTGAGAGACGTGTGCAAATCAGGTATGCCTGTGACGTGCAAAAGGTTTGTTTGCAAAAGGCTTGATCACTGATAATGCAACCATCTAATAGATTTCAGTTTCATACAGTACAGAGACAAATAAAGTGTCACGATCACCAGCTGGAGTGCCCATAAGCTCCCCCAGGGGCACTCCTTACTACTCCTTTACCATTCCATCACGAACTACATTTCCCATTAACCTTTGCCTGGACTCGTTGTTCTGTGATCACTTCCGCCTGCGTATCATTAGCTTGTTAAGGTCTGTGTGTTTATAAGGTCCGTGCTTGATTTATTGTACATCGGTCATTGTTTCCTGTATGTGTGTTCCCAGTTGATGCTCTCTCTTGCCTACTCTGAGTGGTTTATGTTCATGATCCCCTATGTGGATTGCAGCTTGGTTCTTGGCTTGGATAATCTGTGTTTGTGTTTTAATAAACTTTTGTGCTTGCACTTGGATTCTCGCTCCCCCTGGTCTTGGCTCACATGTAACATAAAGGCTTTAATAGAGTGTATTGCTTGACTATGCTGTTTATACTT